TAGCAAGTGTTAATTGAATACAGGAACACATTCCAATACTCGGAGAAGACAGACTGAAATTTTCGTCAAGCGCTTTGCCTTTTCAAATGAGTGCTTGGAAAAAGAGATTTCTGAGACATTTATGTTCCTTTTGTATTTTTCAAATGACACATTGAATTCAATTGAAATATGTAGGAAGAAGTGCTAATGTCACGAAGCTACAAATTTTATTCTGTAAAGTCATGAGCTGTCTATCGTATTTGACGTTTACGAAGAAATTACAGAAGCACAGAAAGCTTTGCTCTTTCAAGAATACAGACGTTATAAATCACAAAAAAAATTCATTCTTCTAGTCAGTCGGACGAAAGCCAAAAAATGCTGCTAAATTGCGCAAAAGTATCAGAAAAAAATATTCATGTTTTTTCTTCAATGACATACGTAGTACATACACCACGGTATCTAACAACCAGCAATCTTATGTTTGATCCATTTAAAAAAGTTGTGATAGGCGTTGATTCTCTGTATTTTCATTCACCGAGTGATCAGCACAAAGTATCATCATTTTCAAATACGCCTCAGGAGTTTCAGTATTATGCAAAACTAGATGATTCGGCTAATTTTCAGTTGAGTCATTTTTCGATAATTGTATTCAAAATTCCTAGCAAAATGTTTCACTTCATTTTGATTGCAATATTTCAAATTTCTTCTTTAAACTCATTTTCAAATCTAAAAGCAGCAATGTCTTGAATATTTGGTGAGTTTTATGTCGAATGATCCAACTCTCTATTTTATTTTTTCTTTCATTATTTCGGATTATTGAGGCTCTATGACTCCAATTTTGAAACTACGTTAGCAAGAAAATGCGCCAGTGTATATAAATAAATGCCGCGCAAAATAGCTACAGGTCTAGCTCAATTAGAGCTATTTACTGCCAATCAATGGAATTATATTTCATTAGTCAGAGGAACTCCAAGGAGTAGATTTTTTCTTTTCTCTTTACTACTCTTTTGGGCTTATTTCACAATTCTATTACCAAGTCAGGCAGATCATTCCTTTATATAAGTTACTGAGAACGAAGGGAATATTTACAGCGAAGTAAATAGTACGTACGATTCTGGTTCTCACGAAAACTACCACAGCGCTATTAGAACAGTAAAATATCCAATTTACTTGCAGTAACTGTAATAAAGCTTAGATATTTTAGCAATTTCACTACTATTTCACGCAACTATTCCAACAACTTATTAGTTTTGACGTAAAATTAAGTGAACTGAAATATAACTGTCGAGGTTGATAGAATGATTGGTATTTCTTTTACTGTAATATATTTCTAATCACTAATCACTATAATACTATTATTTGAAACGTTTCACAAATTTGCTCAATTTTTTTTTAATAAAACAGCGAAAATTTCATCATTTGCTTTATAATACTTTAAATAAGATATTTCGGGTACTGGCAACTTTTAATAAAATTATGTAATCGAAGTTAGTGGGAAAAATTACGCTTTTTTAAAAATATTACTCCAAAACTCATTAAAACATTTCCTCAGCCAACTTTTTGTATTCTGCAAAAAGAATCATTTAACTTTCTCGTTGATAATTATTGTGTGAAACAAACAAGTACTCTCATGACAAGTGAAATTAAAGCTTGTTTTGTGTTGAAACCAGGAAATTTCAGGACACTCCACTATTAATAATGCTTAACTTTTTTGTTAAAATGGTTTATTGCATGTTTTGCTATTGAACGGGACACAACCTTGTCCCATGTTTAAACAATACATCTTACAAATCGTCTCCCTTAATTCAAATAATGTGATATATTTTGAGTGTTTTTATAACGTTGAACAAAATAAATGGCCAGAAAATTTCATTAAACTGTTTAGATATACTAGACAGCTTCCAGATACAACGTCTCCCAGTCTCATTTCTTTTTCATAGTTTAATTCATTTATTGCGATAATATGCATTTTCAAAAAAACAATTTGAAATTCTAAAATGCATGAAACTAAAAAAAATTACATGTGGTACATTATCGAAACGGAGATGAAAAAGCAATAGACCATCAAATAAGTTTAACTACAACAGCACTTCGCTGGGTATATATGAGGTCAATATGAAGGACCAACCAGATAAGGATAAAATATAATTTCAGCCAGAAACAAGAACGGCCAATTTTGAGAGAAAGCTTTTTACTTTGTACTCCATATCAGCAAGGCTATCTACTTAAATGTACAATACATGCATCATTATAAAGCCTGGTCACACAGCCTTGTGGAAACCAACAATTCTCAACCCTATTACACCAGTTGGATGCCAACTTATTGTCTGTAAATTCTATGAAAATATGAAAGCCCTGCACTTTAGTACCATAATCTGTACATTACACTATGTTTTTGGAATTTATTATTTTTTGAAATACAAAGAAAGCGATCTAAAAAATGAAATTCGTTTCCTGAAGTCATGGAGAATAATGAATAATAGAAAACCAGGGAGAATATAAGAATTCAACAATATATGCTCAGAAAATAATCATTAGATTGGAAGCAAAAAATAAAGTAAACGATGTTAATAACTACCACCTCTATTATAAAAAATATCAGAAAATCAGGGTTTTGCATTTTGCTCTTTTCCGTTTTGACAATAGTAAAAGTAATATTCAATCGCAGAAGTAGTAACTTGGATAACGTATGTAAGAGGAAAAGAAAGATAGAAATTCCTGAAATCGTTAAAGATAGATTCCCTTCACTTCGTATCATTCATTCCTTTTACTCATGATACATGTCTTCAGCAAATTGCTAACAGTGGTCATAATACATAACAGACTTTCGTTCATTTCATAGACTAGCATGCAGACTTATGAATTACTTTGAATAAACTACAAATTTTTTGTTGCTCTTTGCACATTTATTTGAAAAATGTGATCTACTTGTCAGTACAAAGAATACTAATGTCTACTGTACTGAATAAAAAGGCACAGAACACACAAAAGTTCCTATTTGCATGATTTAAAACTTTTTAATTCTGAAATTCTTTTCCAAATACTCACAATTGATTAGAAAGCCTCAACCAACCTTTCTCCTAACATTTGATAATTCTTTTTTTAAGTGAACAAAAAGGCTACAATTAAATTAGATTAATCCTGTAACAAGAAACTTTGAGGGGCATCCAGCACAGAAAAAAACAGCTGCTAAAAATTTATTCATTCATTTTTTAGAACGATGATGATTTCAATAATTTGAAGAGCGTTAATAGCTGAATAAAGTTGACTGGATGCATACATTTAGATTGCACTTAGTTACAAATGATAATTTGCTTTTAGAAAAATGATAACTTCTGGCACAAAACTTAATCCGTTAGTAATACACACGACCTGTAACATGCGAAACATGATATAATAATGTGTACACCTGTAAGTTCGGGTGGATACAGATTATTATATGTGATGGTAGGACATGGTTCATGGAATGAAAATATCAGATTACTTGAAACACTTCGGGAGATTATATTATTTGTTACTGTAATCGTAGTCGATTAATATTCAGCAAGCAGTCAAATTATGCAATTGCTCATATGTGCGAATTTGGTTGGCAGCGCACATGAAATGTAGAAATATCAAAGGAAGAACATCTATAAACACGGAGTAATAAATTCACTTAGCATGGGAAAAATTATGACCGCAAAAGTAAACAAAAAGTAACATGAATGAAAGTAAATGCGATCAAAATGTTACAGACATTTTTCGTGTTTGATATGAAGTGAAACTTTAGCTGAATCATTTTAATGCGATTTGCTATTCGAAAATGCTAATATCATCACTAATTATGCAATGTTTCAGAAATAACTGACAAATGGAAAGAATATCGATCATTTAAAATACAGCGTTTTATTCGTCTAACTGATCCGGTTCCCTACAGTGCATCTGCAGTAGTTTCTTTACACCAGGTGAAACAGCACCATCAACACTTGTTTTGGTGAAAATTTCTAGATGATTTTTTCCTTTCCAAATCAAAGAGCACTTGATATCAGAATCATTTTTTATCAAAAACTTGGCAATTTTAGTCAAGCAGTCATGCACTTTTGCCAAAGCCACATATGGTAAGGGTTTGATTAATTTAGAAATATCGGGTAGCGCATTCATAGCTGGCTTACTAAAATCACCATTTCCTTTAAACCAGCCAACGATCTCCTGTAAAAATGTTAACTGTTTTGATAAGAAGCTGCAACGTATTAGAAAAATGTTACTCAGCAACATATTTACTCATGCTCATAGTATATGATTATACCCATCTGAGCCTCTCTTTCTACCACGTTTTCATTTCTAAGCTGTAACTGTTTGAGTTTTGACGTCACACATTTTTTAAGCGATTCACTAAAAATTTTCAATATTTAGAAGAGTAAACAAAAGAGAATTTACAATTAAACCTGATCGGCAGTAGTAAAGAACATTTGGGCCCAGGTAAAGAATGGGAAACCGGCTCCTTGTGGATAAGTTGTCAATAACTGCAAAGGGACATTCCGGGGCATTTCACCATATTCAATGAATGAAATGGTATCATTCTCTTTGAATTTTTCTTTTCTTGGTTCCATCTCAACTTCCGCGTTATTTTCACTGTAAAGACTACGATCAGTGATTATCATAATAAAATTATTATCATTTCGTTCCTGGAATATTGCTCCAGCAAATCTACGTTTTCGTTTAGCCAATTTAAATTCAATCACCATCATCAAATTTGCTCCCATTTTATTTCTTCCTAAAGTTTTCAATTTTCGATCATATTCAGCTCTGTTTGATTTAAATAACGTATTATTGATTTTTGTCAGATCATACCATTTTAATTCACCAGCAAGCAGTTTAATTCCGATTTCTGATTACAATAATTACTACAAATATGCGTTCGTTTCCTTATGATTGTCACTATAAGAAGCTCTGTAGGTTTTCATTGCTTCTTTTGTACAAGAAAATTATTTTAATAAAAAACTTCAATTGGGTGGCAAAGAATCACTTTCACTGCTGTACTCTAAAATTTAATTTAATCACATTTTAATTGATCTTCTTCATCACAGTTTCTGTAATTAAAAGAGCTCAACAAAAACTTGGCTCAAAGTGTTATAAAGGAAAAACTATGAAGAGACAAATTTCACTTATTATTTCACTAGAAAAATATGTGCTATTTTTAATAAACAATTGGATTATTTTCATGCATGTAAGGTTTTGATTACCAGAACGCTTGAAAATAAAATCGAACGTCTATCAAAATATCAGAATCAAACGCGAAGAGTGGTACTTTTGTAGCTTTCAAATGCCAAGCTGTGACATAAGGCTTGTTTGCGTGAAATTTCGATAAAAAGCGAACGAAATTATTGTGCAAAACAAAACAATTTTGTGATAATTTCCTTGGAAAGCAACAGGTAAAAGCAGATATAGAAATGTGCAACTGTTAGCTATGAATTGAGGAAAAACAACTCCCAACTACTTTTTATTTATCATCGAAAAAATTTTTGGTTTAATTTTTTTGTATACCGCACTTGTCATTATGTAAACATTTCCATTAGGAAACGAATATTAGTGAATTATATGGCTGGAACATAACAAAACATATTTTTATATGGTCATAAGCTTCGAAACCATTTCATGAATTTTTCGTCGAAAATCATATAAATGTTATAGAGCTGATACTAACGTTCTGTCTAAAAATCTTTCCACCAAAATTTAGACTGTAAAAGACTTTTGTAAAAATTTAGATAATAAAAATTGAGGTGTACGTCAAATATACAAGAAATTCATCAAATTCCATTAGTTATCAGTTTGAAGTATCTAATCTCAGATTCTCAGTAAATGTCAATAACAAAAAAATAAAGTAAATTGCGAAAATTCCATTTTTCACCTTGGCATTTTGACAGCTGCATAATCAGCACAGTCGACCTCGAACCGCACAAGCAGTTTGAACTGCCCAAACTGATAAGACACAAGCTGGAAAAATGGACCTGTAGTAAGCTTCGATTTTGGTTTGGTCATTTTTCGTTTCAGTGCTTGGTCGAATGTTACGTGACCGATTTCCATAAGATCAGATGCTTCCACTCTGCAAATCATTTTCTTCGCTATTATTAAAGGAACATTTTTAAAAAATTTTTGCACTGAAGAATGAAGATTACAGTTGAAGAATCGACAGAATAAAATTTGTTTCTATAATTGATAGCACAACACATATTTCAATAGTTCTCAGAAATTAAAAAATCTTGAGAATTTTCTAAATTTCAAATCGAACCCTTAAGAGTGATAATTGTGCTATACCAAACTCCCTACCGATGTAAGCTTAAATAAATCGATACTTTAAGTATATTTTTTGGTATAATCTATTTTTCTTTCAATACCTTGCGAAAAGAATTGTTTTTCCAACTCGTTCCACGTCAATCCGAAATAATCCATCACCAGCTTCCTGCGCAAATGCAAATAGTTTTTGCAAGTTTACAGCATCCGTGATAAAATCATAGTCATCGAAATTAATTGGTTTTTCCGCTTTTTCTGTCAAGTGCTGTGCAGCTAATATCATTGTATCCAATGATCCAGTTGGTACCTACAGAACTTTGGAATTCCTATATGGAAAATTCACAAAAGCGACAACTTATTAATATATTATAGGCATTTCAAGCCAAATTAAATTTCCTTGGCATCAAGTCCCGTAAGAGTTTCACTGACCAACCTTTAAATGGTTAACATCATAAATCACTACACCATGGTCTTGCTGTAATTTGCCACCTGCCCAGAAAAATGATTCTGGAGGCATCCCAGGAATCTAAAATAATTACAGTGAAATTCTAAAATTCTACTCAATCACAGTTTCCTACAAGTTAGAAATCTCAATGTCGCTTTCTTGTAATTATTGAAGTCATGTGGGTAAAATGAGATAGTGAATTACTCAAATAAGATTAAAGTTAGGGAGGATTAGAATATAGAGGCAGCACTTGCAATTAAAAAATTAAAAAATCGAAGCACAATGATTTCTAAAAATCGATGGATAGAATATTTAAAAGGCAACATGAAAATAAGGAATATAGTAATCTAACAACAATAGTTGGCGTTTTGTCATCCAAATACCACTGATATGAGCCAATCCTCTCGACTGATTTGGTTGATGTTGGTCCACCTTTACCAGATAAATTAACAAGAGGTAAAAGACCATATGGCTCTTCCGCCAAACCTTCGAATAACCAAAATCCATCTAATGACATTACTCAGAGATGGAAGAGATTAGCTGCTTCTGATAAACTTTAGATTCTTGCTTACTGCTGAAAAAAAAAGTTGTGTAGGACCTTATTCAAATTCTCAAATAATCGGCTAATTACAATGTTACTGAGTGCGAATTAAAGATGTCACCCTAATTTAGGCACAAAAATCATTTTTCAAGAGTAAGCCATGCAAACTTATACATCACAGAAGTCTAACCCATTTATCATCGAATAGTTGATAAAGTTTATTTTGATCACTTCTTAATCTTTTCGTTAAGTACTGTTATTTTCATCACTTAACAAATATAAAAGAACATGACTAATGAAAGTTTATCTCGTGAATAATCTCAATTTTTGTTTCTTATTTTAAGAATGAGAACTTCATGAAAAATAAATATAGCTATGAGTACTGTTAACGTGAGCATACAGAAAAAACCCTTATTTTCACGTAAATCTTGACTCAAACCTGAAAAATTGATTCAATCATGTTACTTAAGTTTCATACATAGAGATCGAAAAACTGACTTCAACTGTGTGAATCCTTATTAAATTGAGCAAAAATTCCAACTACTCAATTTTTACTTAAAGTGTGAATGAAAATGCCTGCAACAACGCGGTCTTCGGCTTATTGGTGAACCTGAAGAAAGTGATTTTAACCATGTAAGTTTTGATTAAACAATAGCAAAACCATCGCAGAAATTTTCATTTAAACTCGGAAATGTCATTAGAGAATGTCTGCGATTTTAATACCTTTAATACCACTAAGATCGTAGTTTTTAAGGTCTATCGAATTATGGCATAATAAATTCACGGAAAAACAAGCAAAAAGCACGAGAAAACCAACAAAAAATAACTTGAAATTAGGGAACTTTTCCTGCATGATTAATGATGAACTGATGGATAACACTTAAAAAATAATGATGCACGCAGTTCATGAAATAATTTATATGCCAACGAAATTTAATGGAAGTGCAAGAAGAGTATTTCAAGGATGCAAGTATATTTTACAAAGATAATGCATGATTCAGAAGTAATATTTAATTACTAAAAGAAAAGTATGCTTGCATTGAGCGTCAGATACATTCATTCTGGTCGAGAAGATTGAGGATAATTCATTGCAAATACTTAAATGCTTGCTTCAGCAGTCGCCGAATGCTGTTAAAAACTAATGACTATGAAGAGAATAAATATAAATATCAGCTTAGCATCCTATTTTAAGCAACCAAAGCAGGGTGATAATGATAGAACGAAAAGCTGCTATAATCTCCAGCATATTTTGCTCAAAAAGTGAGTTTTGATAAGAACCATCAATTCTGTTTTGCTACATTAGAATGAGAATAAAGTAAGATGAAAAATGAATTGGCAACAGCAATCGGAGTGAGAGTAAAAGTAGTAGTAGTAGCAGAAGTAAAAGTGTTAACAGTGATTTCGGAAACAATGAACGGATAAGATGAGGAGCAGATAATACGCTCCGCTCAGGGCTAAGAGCAGCAGCAGGAGCAGTGCAAGCACATCCAGCAGAAGCAACAGCCTGCAAAGTATTATTATTAGCAACGACATCATCATCATGTATCAGGGCGTAATTCAATTCTCATCGCTTGCCTATATGTATAAATAGATAAATATATATATATATATACTTTTTACTTCACATTACTAAAATTTTCACATTACTATCAAAAAGATTTTAATATTCTGGAAAAAATGCTGCACTAATAAATGAATATATAAATGTATATTCAATATTCATTTATTGAATATATATTTATATATTCATTTATTTATATTATAAAGTATACAAGTATATTATTTTTCCGTTTATATGCAGTGATTCTAATGTCTGTTTTAGACAAATATTTTTAACAACGAAATTCAGTGCTCTGTGTTTGCAAAAACTAATTTTTTCGAACGAAATATAAGTGCTAATTAATTATACTTCATATTACTGAAAATTTTCACATTACTATCAAAAAGATTTTAATATTTTGGATAAATAATATTTTTATTATGGTCTTTAATTCATTGGAACAAGACAAAATAATGACTGAGCAATTTCTTGGGAAATGATTATTTTAGAAAAAAATCCCAATTACTGAAAGTAGCAAAGTATATCAGCAATAATATTCATCTTTCGATCGATCGTTCTAATATTTATTTTAATATTTCCAGCCATTTATTTGTTTTTTCCTAATAAATTCAAGGAAAGAAGAAATGCTGCACTAAATAATTAAAAATTCAAATGATTGAAATTTATTTCTTTTCTGATAGCAGTAAAAAGATTTTCCTAAAGTCATTTGTTGGATGTCCGCAACAGTTGGTAAACTGCTTCATTTTATTATTTAATCCTTCTAGCACCTCTTTTACTCTTTTTAGCACATTTCTGTTATCTGAATTATTATTCATTTTTCCTAATTTTGTTAAGGTGGATTTTTTCCTCGAATAAAATGACTTTCAACTCAAAAAACTGCTAATTTTCTTTCTGTTTGGATATATTTTTGAGAGGTCCACATAAATTAGAACTAATGAGCACACAAATGATGAATTATATTAAATTCAAAAGGTTCCAGATTACTACCCTTGAAACTTCTCATTCCGCATAATATTTACCTTTTCTTATCAAGTTTATTCAGTATACAACATCCTGTTTTTTTGCTATCACGAAAATATCCAAAAATTTACCTCTTGTCGTTGCACTTCGGATATCTTAAAGATTTGGGTATCTTAAAGATTATGAATGTAACAAGGACTGAAACACTCCTTCTTCTGATACTCTCAACATGTATCAAGAAATAGATAATGCGTAGTAAGTTTAATCACGCATTTTCTATACAGGTGCATTTACACAAACAATAAATGATGAACAACATTTTCATTTTTTGACATATCAAATTAAGACAAAAGTATTCCCTGAAGACATATAATATACAAAATATGCATCAATTCAACTACTAATGATTGTTTCTGTGAAGAAAGTCTGGTAGCTAGATCGCCTTTTTGATTTGCAAGCTTCTTCTGATGTAAGAAGCTGTCATTTTTATATCTTAGCAGCTATTACGTGTCACTTAAAAAACTTTATTCTTTGCTCGAAAGAATGAAATAAAATGTTCCTCTTCGAAGAAAACTACAAGTTTATCATTGTAATTTCAAGTACAGTGATTAGATTTGATTAAAAAGTATTATGTTCTGAAGAGAATTTTTTTTGAATGCCACATGCTGGTTAATAAAGGCTTCTCTAAAATGTTGGGAAGCATTTAGTCATTTCCTTCAGCATTTTTTTTTCACTAAATTTCTATAGTAATTGCTTCACTCTCACTATAAATCCACTTTTTACATTGCTGTAACTCCATCAGTACTAAGCACTACCGCGGAGTTGAAGAAAGGATTAGAACAATCTTTTAGTTATCACAGCAAATCCAATGAAAATAACAAAATGTTTAAATAAGGCGGCAGGCTGAAAAGCCGATACAAACTAGAAAATTAATTTTCTTGCAATGAAAGTTAACTTCGTCTGTTCGTAATTTCAAATATCGTACTTATACTGACTAAAGAGGCTGAGTACTTTAAGTAAATAAAAAATTAATCAGTACCATTAAATTTATTTCACATCTCGAAATCAAAGAAGCTTCTAGTTCACGTATCAATTTTTATTAGTTATGAGCGATTTTTAGTTATCTTTTGATTGATATTTTTCAACAAAAATACACTTCGACGTCAAAAGATAAAAACGCTGATGTAATGTGGCACAAAAATTTTTTGTCACATCCCCATCTCACTGGAAAACTTAAAGCAGTTTTCGCTGAAAGGAAAGGAAGCATTGCTACTATGCATATCAAACACTTTTAGCACCCAAATTACGTACTGGTATAATCTTTTACATGCAGTTAACCAGTATTCTGCAATTATAGCTCATTTATTTTTATTTTTTGGAAGAAATCTCATTTCCAAAAATTGGAAAAATATTCTGTGCTTCAATTTCAAAAATAATTTTTTAGATGCCATGTGAACTTAAATGCACATAAAATTATTATCTTCCACATTAACAAAATAGTTATTTCTCAACTACTGCAGTAATAAGTCACATTTTCTGCAGCAAATCAAATGAGTTACATTTTTGTTAATAATATTCGATATTAGCTACCACTTTTATTAGAGAAATGAAATTTTTGTAAGAATGTTATTTATTTGCTAATCAGTTAATAACTGAAGATTTCACAAACTTCATACATATTTTTTTAACATTTTGCTACGATTATAGAAGAACAGTTTTTCCCCCGTTGCTTACTCATGAGTTAATTTGGTTTTTTCAAAGGAATATACTTTATTTATTCCCTTCGATTACGATAGCTTTATATTAAGAAACTGCACGCTGTTTTTACGCAATTTAAAAATCATAGAGGACAGAAACAAAATTTGCAGAACTTGAGGGTGAATGATGATGACAAAGCATCTTCTAATTTAAGAAAAACATTTTAACATTGATTTCACTTCCGATTGTATTTTTACTTTGAGAATTTTTTCATATATTTGGAAATCAAGCAAACGCAGAACAGAAAATTTAATTGATGAAGATTTTTATATTATAATTATAGTATCTCAAATTGATTTAAACAAAACACTACAATTAATAAATCAATTTGTTCATGCTTCAAACAATCAAACCCAATAAAAAATTCAATGAGCAGGCTACAGTATCGTCTTTTATGTTTCTAATTTCCATTTAGAAAGTTTCGAGTTATCATTACAAGTGTTCAAACCTTTCACGACATTTTATATCTAATCATAATTTTTTTTTGTAAGTGAAAGAAACACTTTTTTTGGGCTAGATTTAACTAACAGAAGTTACTCAGATTGATGAAATAATCCGTTCAGCTCGTTGGAAACTTCTTTCTGCGACCACACTAATAATTAATTTCATTTTGCGCACTGTCAAATTATAACAAGTTCTTGACATATATGAAAAATAAATGTTAGAAATTAATTTTAAAATACATAAGTGACCATAT